AAGGTGGGGTGGAGATGAGAGGGCGGTACAAGGAGGACTGGCAGGCCTTTGCTGCATTCCAGGTATGGCAGAGATTGGGGGTTATCTGGGGAAGGTGGGGGGGGGTATGGCAGAGAGAGGCAGGGGTTGCCTGGGTAAGGTATATACGTAGGGTGGAGATGAGGGGCTGGTACAAGGAGGACTGGCAGGTGTTTGCTGCCTTCTAGGTATGACAACACTGGCAAAATAGGGGGATTTACCTGGGGAAGGAGGGGTGGGGACTGTACAACAAGGAGTAATGACATACTTTGCTGCATTCCAGGTACTGGCAGATAGGGGTGGGGGGGGTGTTGGGAAAAGGAGAGATGGGGTGGTAACACGAGGAGTGGCCAGCATAGAGTGTATGTTGTTCTTCAGGTATGACAGCACTGGCAGAGATGAGTTTTACCTGGGTAAGGGGGCAGTTGATGGGGGTGAGGGAGCACAAGGTGAATGAAATGGACCAGAGCAGCCCCATGGAAGGGATTGAATATTGGTCAGAATGAAACATTTTTGTATGGCATCTCATATACAAAATGAGTACCAAGGAAAAGCAATAATACTTATGCCAGTGAATTCAGTACATATGTCACATTAATTAACTTCTGAATATTTTCCCTCCACAGATTGTGGTTCTGGCCAGAGTGATAGTGGACATAGACCAGGTGACGCTGACCGCTAGAGGAGTGACCACACTGGTCAGACTGCTGGGGTCACATGAACACAACACGGTCATTCTGGCAGGTATGGCTTTACCTTGACCTTCTTACTTTCCTACCTTGATCCTATCCAAATTTTATAGATGGAATTTGATCTGCCTTACACCATTTTGAGTCAGTCACTGCACTTACACAATCACAGTCTTGTTCTAATTAATTCATCAGCTGGTTGACCTCCATTTTGACCTGTTTATTTCATAAAATGGTTGACTTCTCTCTTTAGCCAATTACTTGACCAAACAGCTTGCCATCTTGCCTAAGTAACTATGTTTTATCTTGGAGGTATATATATATGTATTATAATCATAATAGCTAGTTTCAAAATTTTACCCTAACCTTCACATGATTTTGACATTGCCAATGAATAATTCAAATTTGTTGACATAAATTCCATTGTATCCTGTTCCAAGACTGTCACTGGCCCAGATCTTTACTCACACCTTTTCTTCCCTGTGTCTTCCAGGCAGCTTCATGGCCAGTCTTGCCCACACTCGCGCAGGGATCCCAGACGCCATGATCACCTCTGGCGCCATCAACCATCTCCTGGAGCACCTGTTCTCTGACAGCGAAGAGGTCCGTTCGGCCGTTGCCTGTGCTCTGGGGTACCTCTCCTTCAACAAGACAGCAGCGAGGGCGCTACTTGTGGCCTGCAGGAACCGCCCCAAGTATTACGACCTGCTCATGGACAATATTGGGCTGAATCCAAAGATCAGCGCTGACTTTGTGGATGATTTTAAGCGAGCTAAGCTGGTTGGACTGCCATCGCAGAGGTACTGTAGTTTGTTCACGAGATGTTTATTTTAATGATGCTTTTACCTTCTATTACTTTACAAAGTTATTCACATGTTTTTTGTTGAAAAAAAAATGATATATTGATAGCTAGAAAGTCGGAAACTTATCACATTGGACATATTTATTTTATTTTTTTAATGTTATTTTTATTCATTTATTTTTTTTTTAATTTTTCAGCCTGGAAATTAATGGAGGGCCTCCCATTATTCCTCACAACATTGTGAGAGATGGTGAGTAATTTTTTTTTTTTTTTACAATTTTAGATTTATAAATTATTGAAGTTTTTTTTAACAGTTTGAACAATACATTTGTAAGTTATTGAAGTAAATTACATACTTGCAAGTATTTGAACTCATTTATTTATTTCAGCTATTGAAACAGTTATATGGATAGTGTGAAAAGGAAAAAACAGTTATTTTATATGAATGATGAGCAAGTTTTAACTTAAATATAATCTCTGTGAAAAGTTTGATAGAAGTGCATTGAATCTATTTAAAATATTTTTTCATCATCATCTTTTAAATTATCTCGCTCGCTCTCTAAACTACCACATGTACAGGATCTAAGCTAAAGAAAAACTTTCGGCCCACTAACTTCTATCGGCCGCCCAATAAAAAGGAGATAAAAGCTGAGCTCGGAACTTGCCGCAGCTTTCCTTTGCTGCATACTAACATGGCTACTGCTGATGCTGGGTAACATTGTTGATGTTGTCACCAACACGTCGACACTGTTACTGTTATCGTTACACCTCATGGGAGTCACAGCACCTTGTAGTGACATTCTGTTGTCTACGTCAGTTTTTTTTTTTTTTTTTTTTAATTTTATTTTTTTTTTGCAAAGTGTCAGGTCACTTATTACCATATTACACTATTAAAACCAAAGCACTTCTGACCTTTTATAAATACTGCATTATGATGCCAGAAAATCTGCCACTGGTTAATTTGGACATTTTTCCAATGACATACTCTGTTCATGCACTTTTGCTGCTGTCACTGATGGAAACATTGTTGTCAGCTACCCTCTACCAGGGCAAGTGATAGATTTTTTACAGATATACACAGATATGTCTCTAGCTAGATAGATGGTCATTTAGGGCTCAACTCACCCTGTTGAGGAATCCCATGTGGAAACAATTATCTCTGCGCGCGCGCCAAAGGCTTTGTACTTGCTCTGCATGAGCTGAGCTTCACAACGATGTGATAACTGCTCGTTACGCAACCAGTCTAAGGCTGTCACAGAAGAGCAAGTGATTGAAGTCAGAGTAATTAACTGTCTTGATTGCTGTCACCCAGACTTAGACTGGACCTGCTAGGTGGCAGTGCCTGAGCAGTTATGCAAACAATTATCAGCCATGTAATCAGCCTTGAGATTTCAGTACAGGGTGAGTTGAGCCCTAAATGACCATCCATCTAGCTAGAGACATATCTGTGAATATCTGTAAAAAAATCTATCACTCGCCCTGGTAGAGAGTAGTTGTCAGCTACCAAGTATACTACCGTTTTTACCCTTCACAACTTAACAGCACTATGCACTTAACAAAGTTTACATTCCTTTTAACTTAGTTCAGAGGAAAAAAAAAAGTCCAGTAAGATCTGATTAACTTCAACCATTTCCCAGTGTTGTGAGGTTACAAGAAAGTGGGATTTTTCCACCAGACAGAACTGCATCTTTTTCTTTTAAGTTAAAACTGCTTCACATATCTCTGGAAACCATTGTTTCTTCTTATCAACATAAACCTAGCACTCTGTTTTCCCAATTATAATCTCACATACATGATATTTCTGACCTCTCCCAGTTAAAGATGTGAACGTTTCCCATATAACCAGTTGTACAATCATTTAAACGCGCTAATACAGGTCAAGGTTTTGTCATCATTTACGTACATATCAGAGTTAATTGAAAGAAAAATTATTGTTATGGAAGAGGTAGACTCAAGACATAACTTTATTTATAATGACATCATGTTAGAACTCAATTAAAATGGTGTGTAAGAACTATCTGCAGACGAAAATTATCAGGTAAGAACCAGGCTCCAGCAGTACATTTAAGTAATTTTAACGTAAATGAATATTTCAGGAAACAGACCTTACACCACCCACAGCTTCCGTCGCCCTCCCCCAAGTTCCCCGCCATCATCAGTAGGACGCGCCAAATCCGCACCCGCGCTTCGCAACAGGACCTCGGCCCTTTCGGCAGCGCAAGATGGTGAGCAGTACAATAATTAGTTTTGTGCATAAGTGTTTTTGCTTGTTTAGACTTTAGTGAACAATTGTTTTTAGTTAATATATGTGATGAAAAATTTTGTGTAAGGATTGTTGATTTTGTTTAAAAGTTGATGAAGTCGTAAATATGAGTTTGGTTTGTTAGAATTTTGGGTACAGAGTAGAGTAATGAATATGTTAATAGCATTTAATGTTTATGACCACTGATTTGAGTTATTTTTGTCCCTATTATTATTGTTTCTTTTCATATTTTCACTTTTTGATTATGGAATTAAATTGTATTTGTGTCATATATTTTAGAGAAACAGCAACAGTACCTATAGTTGTTTACCAGCTAGACAAGTGCAAGTTGATCTTAACATACAGTTACTGATTTACAATTGCTTACTGTTAGTATCCTTTTTAATTCTGAATTTTAAATCTTTTCAGGAAAATCATTTTTAAGTAAGCGTAGTGGCTCTCCAGTCTCTCCAGAGAGATCTTCCAAAGCAGTGGGCGCCATGAAAACATCCATTGGTGCCTGGAAAAAATGACGACTGTTAAAATTTTTGACAGTGTAAATATTTAATGAAGACCGGGGAAAGAGACAGATAAAAAAGAACATTGTACAGGCTATTTGTATTATTGTTGGTTTGCTGTGTGAGAGATGAAGTTGGGCAGGGCTGTAAAGGAATGGGGGGGGGGGGGGGGGAGTGGACTTGAACATTCCCTGATCAGATGAAAATGCTCAGACTTAGTCTTTTAGATACTGGGGAGGGGGGAGATTTTTGGGGGGGTATAAGATATAATTGCTGTGCTTGCTTTTTTCGATGAAGTACAAAAATAGAACATAAGAAGTTTGATTTTATAGGGAATAAAACAGCTGTGATGGCCATGGTCAGTTGTGGCAAAAAAGTTTTCCTTTCATCAAAATTATATTTATATGATTATCATCATCATATACATGTATTATATTATATGTGTAAGGAGCATTGACAATGAACCATTTTATGACTTTGAAATACAATCCAATTTCCTCAGAGAAAGTAGGCTCCAGTTTTCCTACATGTGTGTGTATATATATTCCTGGCACTCTTTACTGTACCCCGGGGTAAATAGAGAAGACTGTACACCTAGGCTATGAGAAACGACTCGAGAACAAGATGCTGTTTATTTGCAGGCTTCTACTGTAGCGTAGTAAGCATTATGTATCTTATCATTAACGTTATAATGGTGTCAACTTATTCAAAGAGCGCAGCTTGGTGAATTATTTGTAAGTTATTTAATTTTAAATTATGTATATTTTCTATTTTTATTTTATTGCATTGTTTTTATATTTTGTTTGAAGAAGACTTCGACTGCTTTCCCAAAAAACTGATGTAAATAGGCGTAATCTGACACAGGGTTTATCTTTGTATTGAAGCCTTATATTTTTAACAGAAATGATCATTGCTCAGTTAGAATATTGTCATAGCAGTTCTGTTGCTTTTTCAAGCTGTATACTACGCTGCATTATACTGTATAGCATATGCTAAACAGGCGACAGTTAAGTTTTTTTTTTTTTTTTAATTTATTTATATTTTACAATAATGTATATTTTGTGTGCTATTGAGTAGCAAGCTTTATTTTTAGATGTGATATTATGTATGAATACCATCCATTTTGTTATAATTTTTTAAAATATTATCTTACGTATGACAGGTTATTAAATACCCAATGCGTTCTCCTCGAGAATGTAAAGCCAACAATGGAAAAAGATGCTAAGCCGTCCATGTTTGTTAAAGTATAACTCAATGAGATATTACAATTTACGTATATATTTACGAAGAACAGAAGACACATTGCGTTTTATTACAATAAAGTGTTTCTTGTAATGCATAGTTTCTGTTCACACTGTTGGGTCATCTCTCTCTTTCTCTTTTGCTCTCAACATTAAACTATATTAAAGATATGTTGTCACCCTTCGCCCAAAACTCCTCATTTACTGCCTTACGTACATTCTTTTGGGTAATAGATAGATCGTCAGTGTTCAGTGACTCAGTTAATTAACATTTAGACATACATCATCTTACGGGTGACGTCATAATTGCGATTTTTGGGTAAAAACTGAAAAACCCGTTTCTCAAATTTTGCATTTACCTGAGCTCCGACGATAATCGTTTCAACGCTGATTTAATGACACCAATTAGTACTCCAAAATCCTGCCAGCGATTTATCTTAAAATAATAGTTCAGATTATATCGTTGATAGAGCAAAACAGTGCCTCTGTGCAGTGAAAATCTGTAACTAAGAGCTCATAACTCCACCACAAAAACATTTAAACCAAAATGACGGCACGGGATTGTAGCCTATTCACTTGTGGCCAACTCTGCCAATTTTCGTGATAAAATCTTGTCAGTCAGGGATGAAGTTACGCCCCATACCGATTGCTATCCCACCTCAAAATAGAAAAGTGTTAAATAGACGAATAAAGATTTGAGTTGCCTATGCTTATACATTGCAACGAGAATAATAAACGCCGACATATATAAATTTGACATTTGATGTGGGGGTTTTGGGTATATGTTTGGGGTAGTTCACTATAGCATGCTATGACCAAAAACCAGTGTTTCATGGAGAAATTGCCAAGCTCAAGATTTCTGCAATGTCATAAATATTTAAAAATCTATATTAAAAAAAGTAATTAGGCAGCCGCTACCAAAGTACAGCTAACCTTAGATAAATATAAAGGGCATAATTTGCCACTATGATCGGGTCTCTGGGCCTTCCTTCCTTTTTGAGATAACGGAAACAAACCTTTTTTGAGCCCGTTTGGCCATTAGCGAATTTGACCTTGACCTACTTACATAAAAGTAGGTCATTATCTGTGGATTTGGCTCAGTATCATTGACCATAAGGCCCTTAGCCATATGGCTTATACTTTAGGCCTAATGGCAATTTCAAATTTTACAAATGTTGCCTTTAAAAGCCCCTGTGACCTTGAAAAGTAGGTCAAGGTCACTGAAACTTGGTCTATGGCATATTCTTACCATGGGCTACCTATGTAAATTATTTCAGATTTTTTGCGAAAAAAAACGCGCGGAAATAATAATAATAATAATAATAATAATAATAATACCAAAAACAATAGTATTCCTCTATGGGGAATCCTAAAAATAAACCCCCGACCATACTCCCTACCCACTGTTTAAGATGTAGATCTACACATGTTACGAAGGTTGTCATCACAAAGCTGTGATAATTGCAGTCATTTGTACTTTCAGTCCCATTAACTGCATTTTAAGCTAATAAAATTTAACTGACAGCAGTCACTTGGGAAATTTATATGTTGCTTTATAAATTTATTTAGATTAATCATGAAATAAAAATCCTATGCAGTACGTACAGTAGTTTCTTGAAGCTGATCGAATAGAATATGCTAAAGTCTCGGTCACAACTGGACGCACGAATTTTAGGATCGTATGGCCTCTGCGAATTTTGGGTGCAGCGGAGGTCGTGGAGTTCGTACAGGTAGAGGAAAGTTTGCAATGGAAGGCGCAAGCCTGCCTTATGAGTCGCAGGGTCCACGTGAGAAGCAGGGACGCTACTTGCAAGGTACGATGTACTCATTTCATGAGTTTGTCTTGCTACCTGCGTACGTGGCACGCACTCACCATTTATGAAGATAATACTACGCACGACGAAAGTAATTTCCTTTTGTTTCACACTTGCCTCACACGCTTGTATTGACGTACTGACCACGTAAGTCATTTTTGCCTCCTGTTCCCCCTTCTTTCTTTCCCCCTTCCTTCTTTTCTGTTCTCTTAGCTTCTTTCCCTTGCTTTTTGGAGGCATATTACAAGCAGATTGAGCAAATTTCGAATTTTTTGAAATGTTGTACACGAGGCACAAGCGACGTTATTTGTCGAGACACGAGCGTGATCGTGAGCACGTCTTTTATACTCCTGGCGTGGGGACAACGCACTTCCGCCGTGCTTTCGACTTTGCTTTTTAGCTGTGAGGGCGTACTCAACACGCAAAGGACACTTTCTCCTTCATTGTTTTCGACGTGCGTCTTGGACCACGCACGGCTCACTTGCATATTTCTCGCAAACTCCTTGCAAGTGGAACAAGTTACGTTTGCGGCCTCGCTGTTCGCATATTATTCGTAAAATCTTTTGAACGTGTCCAACATCCTCCGTACGTGCTTACTTGCTGTCTGCGAATTCCAAATTTCGCAAGAAGAACTTGCGCGGCACGTGAGATTCTACGCAAAATTTGGTCGTAAACAGGTCGTAAAAGCCAGTACGTACGGTTGTGACCGAGGCTTAACATGCACAGGGCACCTATCCCGGTGTCACGTGTACGGTTCGTTCTGCGTGAACCATCCGTCCTGACCGATGGTGATGGTTCACGCAGCAGACGCGTGTATGAGCCGTTCCGTGAATGATCCGTTGTTATTCACCTGCAGTGTTATATTCGGCTAGTTCATTTTCTACCTCATTATATATTTACTATTATGAGGATAATTAATGTGTTAATTGATGATTTTGATAGAGAGTCAGCATCAAGTTACAGTTCGACGCATGGATGAACCTACCGTGGACGGGCCGTCGTTATTCAGCTGTTGGCCTACTACAAGTATTTTGTATTGATTTTGCTAGGCGTCATGATATGACCACCAGAGGGAAATCGCGGTAGAGGTGAACATCTATAAGATATGAATACTTCTTAAGATTTTGTTTGAATTAGCAGCATGTTCTCAACAGTGAATGTTTATTAAAGTCTAAGAATGTATTGATGACTCGATCGAGACAGACTACACGCCGCAAGTCTCTCTGATTTGCCTGCGCTTCGTGCGCATGAGCAGAACAGATGGTTAACACACCGAACGATTCATGCCACACCGGTCTAAACCCCTTTCACCCCCCCCCCCATCCCACAACAATGTTAAAAATAACAAAACAGTACCTGCAGTTAATCACCTCTTTACGTCAGCCCAGAATTTTAAAACACAGTTCTTTTTATTCCACAGTACCATAACTGTAGACGTAATGACAGTAAAGGTTATTCTATAGTCACCATAAGGGTTACCACCTTTTTATATGGACGTTTTGGGGCATTCACATATTGATCCTGTATTAATCCTTTATCCACATATTGATTTTGCTCATTGTTATACAGCGAGTGCAGACAATGCAGTTTATATTGTATTATTGCAGTCACAGTGTCTGTCCTCGAACAAAATAGGTAGCGTGCTATTGTGCTGGACTTTTCTACGGGTTAAATAAACAAGGTGTTCATATAAAACCGGTTTACACTATACGTATTAGTTAGTACATCTACAGGAGTCTGTAAGCTGGTCAAAGAAAAAAGGTATGTATGATAACTATTGTTTATGGATTTTCTTTATACCCCCGTCAAACTAGAGGCGAAATGAGCAAGAACGCCGTCGGAAAGACAATTATTTGTGTGTTCCTGGAAATTCGAACAACAGATAGTAAGAATGACACAACAGTCTAGCACCCCATTCTCATAGATTAGATCGACCTACATTGGATCGACCTAACTCCCTGGGGGTTCACGCTAAATAGCTGTCAGCCGGGCGGACACGAAAGTTAATTACCCCTTAAAGCTTGTAGTAGGCGGGGACGGACACTTAAGGGGGATTATCTGACAGTAATCTAGTGAGACTCCCCGCGGTGATAGATCGATCTAAAAGTTGTGAGAACAGAGCCTAGGATAGGTTTCCCTATCAATACAGTTTATTACTTTAACCCGTTACATATACAGGGACATCTAGGTCAGGTAGGCACAGCGCTACGGTAAGACAGTGACCCAATCGTTCCCTCGATCTAGGCTCTGATTGACCCGGCCGTCCTCAGTCCTCAGTCTCCCTCTCGTGCTCTCGTGCTCTCGGCGTTGCTGGTCACTCTGACGACCCTGGGATCGGTCTAGCGTTTACTTTTTGGTGTAGAAATCAGGACGCCCTTTTATACTGAATTTTGAGGGTGAGGTCACTGTTTACCGTGCCTGATAGTGACAGGATAATTCTCGTTATATAAACGGTTACTTGTTATACTGGTAACTTGGCCTTAAACTTCTATTCTATATTTTGCATGTTGTTAAAGCAATACTTTCACCCGTAATTGATGATAAATAAACATAATACTGGGCACTTAATATAATATAATATATGTGCGGCCCTTCGAATGTATACTCTTATAAGGCTCGATGGTCACATTATTTTGCATCTTCAGTTAAGGTAGCACCGTCCAACACCGACTTTCAAGATAGCTTAAGATTTCTCTGTACCTTTCAGAGATTAAAGGATAATCACTTGGAATTGCCCTTGTAGAAAATCCGAGATAGAGATAGAGATGACAGCGGTGTGACTAACATATTCACAGGGAGCCAGGTGTGGCATTGGCCTATTACACAAGTTTTAATTACTAAATGTTACGTAAAGGCTCATCTTGCTACCAACTGCGTTACAATTTATTTGTTCTTTATTCTAGAGCCATTTTCTTATTACAATACCAGAAATCAAACAATCAAACTTTATTTGGAGAGATACTGCCAACACGTTTATATTTATCGCTAGTGAGTTAATTTGCCGTAAAAGCTGTAACTGATCTCATATTCAAATAAATTGAATTCTCTTATAAGCTTGATGTGAGAGAACAGTAGACGATTAAACTTTGTGATTAATAATTCGAGTTATTGTACCACCAGCGTATGCGCTGGCGGTACACATGGTTTTAGTCCCGTCCGGTCCGTTCCGCCGCCATGTTACCGTTACCGCTTCTTCTCCTAGACTACAAGGGCCTGCGTACCCATCTCTTGGATTTAGGTCGCAAGCAATCTCAACTCGTTCCATGTAAAATTTGGGCAT